TATATATATATATATATATATACATATTACTTTCTTTTTTTTTATCTGCTTTGAATTATTTGATACAAGAGTTCTGAGCGTACGCTAGGAAGATGAAAATGTCAGACGAAATCCCCTGACGAGAAAATGTTAATGAATTCAGGTGGAATTAACAGGGAATAGTATCTTCGAGTACATCTATCAGAACGATCACGCGGAAATGCTATCGGTCCTAAACTTACCGCAGACCCCGGCGGATCTCGCTGGTTTCACTTTTCCGCCTGCAAACTCGAGAGGCGAGATCGAGCTGGAACGTGTCTTTATCCTGAGGATGAAGTGCAATTTGGCGAAGAGATGCGCGGGACTAGTCACGGAGGGATACAAGGTAATAAATACTTTTCTGTTCTAGCGTTACGAATATATAATGATTCTATAATTACATATCGGTAAGTGTACTTTAGAAAGATGAATCTTGCATCATCAATGCTGGGGAGAAATTTCCTTCGAAAACAACTCGAGCGTTCGCGATTATCTTGCGAAAGTACCGGGCGATTATCGGTTTATTGAGTTTCGTAAATCGCGCAATATTCGCAGCAAACAAGCCGCGGATGAGACGATCGGCGATTAGCATAACGCCTAGGCTGCTTGCACAGGAAATCATAAAACGAATAAAAATTCAAATGCTAAATAAGAGATAAGAAGTGGCAAGCTAAGTAGGGACGGTATTGTCCTGGTCACGTGCGAGTCGAAAAGAAAACGGCCACCAGGTGGGATGCTGCTTAAATTCGCTCCATCGGCTGCATCCGTTTCCTTCCGTTGCAATAAAAACACCGGCTACGTGAACGTATATTTCGTACATCCGGAATAATCGAAATTTATGAGAATCCATCTCTGTGGCCGTGTTTGGTTTCATTTTGGAACAATTTTATTTCAGTCGATTCCATTTCGTTCCCGATTCGTTCCTCGACTCGAGCCTTCCGAATAATTTTTCTACACTTCGAACGTGTCTTTTCATTCGTATGCTTTCAACGGCGTGTTTTCTCTGATGGAAAAGTCAGAAAATTGTTGATGTAGGTATTTGCAATGTGTCGGATGATGATGATTAGCCAGATGATTCCATTGCTAATAAATATTCGAAAATCTCGATTTGCTCGTAACTGACTCGCGATTCTATCGAAACGTACGTAATCAGTGACTCTGAGATAGAACTTCAATTTTTTTTTTTTTTTTAATACTCTCAAACTCCACTCCGGGCTACCAATTACGTTACACTGAATATCTTAAATCCACTTTTCGAGGCTAGGATCGGTGCTCCGGACACGGGACGCATCGTTATTCATGGATTACCCAAATTACTTTTATCGATCCGATTAAATCGGTCTGCCGGTACGGTCCAGATTCCGTCGACAATTGCTCGCCGCGCGATTTATGATGATTAATACCGTGAACGATTTACCAGAAATCAGGATATCCATCGCACCCCGCTACTTTCAATGGTGATCCAGTTTGATTTCAACAAATGTTCCACATATGTTCGGGCAATAACGATCGTTTCACTTATCGTTTGTAAAGGGTGGAGCGCGCAGGGTGTATGGAAAAGGGACCTGCGACACTTTGCACTTGCCGTAGCAAAGGAGACAGCCCTCGAGAAGGAAAATGTTTGGCAAATAGCTCGTTCAAGCCAGTAGCGCTATGATGACCGTGGCTCTCGACGAAATCGCGCACAGAAAAGACCCCAATAGGCGTTGAGCAAAATCATGAATGCAACCCCTGTAAGCTGTTAAAGGCGAATTCCCCCGAGGGGGGGTTACGGGGAACGAAGGCGGCTTATTGTATGGCACTTAGACACACAAAGCCCGGGCTCGTAGTTGGCTTGACTTTGTGGAGGTGCGAGCACGCGTTTTGTCCGATTTACACACGGATTCGTACGCGTACAGTGGATTAGATCGACGACTTCACGGACGGATAGAAGGGTTGCAATTTTCGACAATCGCGAAACTTGCATCTCTTCTCTGCCTAATTAAGTTCCAAGAAATTTTATTACGGAAAATAAATTCTTTTCTCTTTTTTCGTGCAAACTCTGCAAACACCGACGAGTTCCAGAAATTGAAAACTAAAGGAAACACACAGATATGACAACGCATTAATTTGTAAACCGACTTTAAAATTTATCATCACACTTGTTGTTTCCTTGGAGGAGAGGATTTATAGAAATAAATCGTCCGCGATGTAACAAAATTTACAAATAGAAATTCACCAATTTGGCTTTCATCGCTAAATTGATACTGTAAATGTAAAAATCTGTTCTTCAGCGCGTCTTTCGAGCTCGTTTCCAAAGACGGAATCAAGCGCATCCGCACCCCGTCGCGAATTATGTATTTCGTTTCCTGCCCTGTTTCACGTCACCCTCGTCTTCCCGTGCACGCACGCTCGGGCCCGCGCCAATGCAACGCAGAATTGCATATATGAGAGAAGTGAGTATGCAACGCGGGCATACGGAACAAGCCTATTTGCTTTACAAATCTGTCATCTACTCGAGACACAGGCGACGTTGAACGAGGCTTTTTTTCCGTTTCTTCGGCCATTTAATTAAGCAGGAATTGTTAATTTGCTCCTGGGAGCCGTCGCCGTTCCACGCGAAAATCCGCACTTCAACCCCGAGGGAACTCGCTCGAGTATCGCACTTAAGCCCTATCGGGACCGCTGTATAACATTAAGAATAATCACGTGCACATGTGTAAATAACTATAAGTCCTTCGTGCCGAGTATTCCGCTCTTAATTGAGACGTTTCGTTTGAATACTCCTCCTTTCGTTCCCACCTTTAAACTGTGCCCCTGCGGTTCATCGAAAGTTAATTACAAAATTTCTCCGCGTGAAGGACTAACTAACCAACCCAGGTAATTTCGATTAATTTTTAACTATCCTAAATGAAAAAAGGTTTTTCATTTAAAAACTGAATCTATGATATAGCAGAGACTTCGATGAATTTTTTCAGACAGAAGGATCTTTCGTTAAGGTAGAAAATCTTAATTGAAAAGACTTACTTTTAAGAAGCATTTCTCCTGTATAGACGAATTGATTTCACTCGTTACAGGTAATACATTGTTCCGGCTATCTAAGGTGTATCATCGAAGGCCCAGTAGGCTCGGAATACGAAGACGGTGCAGGTCGACACTGCATTCGGAAAGTCGGCCTATTGGCAGTGGGTCATTCTTTACCGGGACGTTGTCTCACGGAAGTCAAACTTTACCAGAACATGTTCATGTTCCGTGCGTCGTTGGACTTGAAGTTGATCTTCGTCGACGCGAAGTAAGAAAGAAAGCCAATCGTGTTAGACATTATCCCGGTGAATCACATTTATTTGTCTGGTGTCTCGATTGAATTTCGAGCAGCGAAAGAAAGAGGGAGAGAGAACAGAAAAGGGGAGAAACTCGACGAAACAACGAGCCCGATTATTTCTGTCGCTGTAATTACAGTGTGGTGTTAAGTTGCGTCGTCGATATTTCGACGCCAGGGGAGAGAGAAGGGTCCTGGTCGGCGACCATTAAAATCAGTTTCGTGTTACCACGGACCCGTTAGATGTATTTTCTCTTTCTTTTCCTTTTTTTCGTTTCTCCCTCTCTCTCTCTCTCTCTCTCTCTCTTTCTCCTTTTTTTTTGTTTTATTCGCGTTAAATAAATATCCCACGCAGACAAGACTGTATCATACGCACATACGCACGCTTTAGTCACGCGTACACGCTGGGAAATGAACACGTGACGGAGTATAAATACAGGGTAGGGCGATGGAACGCGGGATGAAATTTTATATCGGATCCGGAAAATCGATTTCCATGGATGACGACGGTTATGCAAACCTCGAATTCGACGGGACTTTGACAAATCTCGGCAAAAATAAATAAATACACACACACACACACACACACACACACACATATTCCTTTCTGAAATATTTGTAGCCAAAGAAAGAAAGTGTAATGGATATTATGAAACATGTTTTTTTTTATCTTCCTGTTCGTTGTTGCAGTGTATCACAACTGACCGGATACGATCCACCGGATCTGATCGAAAAGACGCTGTATCACTACGTGCATGGCTGTGACATGATGCAGCTGAGGCATGCTCACGGAACCTGTAAGATTGCAAACAATCTCTTATCTGTTTTATAATGATTTCTTCGTTAAAATTTGCATGATGTTAATATCTAGGCACGTCAGACAGTTATGTATCATTGAAGAATTCTAAATAACGTAATATTTAAACACACCGATACGAAAGATTGGCAGTTCCAACGTTGCATTGTATTTTCCATATAAACTATTTGACGAAACGTGAGATACTACCACCGTGGTAACTATGAGCAAAGCGAATAGTAGCTGTCGATCGAAATAGGCCTTATTTTCCCTGACGCGTGTAGTCCGAAAGCGGTCTCAGAGGCGTCGACATGGTATCAGAGTGCTCGAAGAAGAGGCTCTCGCGAGGCCGAAAGCAGCTGACGTTGCTTTAACTCGGCGACGCCCTCGCTGACGAAATATCCTTTGATCTTTCTTTACTCCCATCCTCCGCGAGTCGACTTCTGAGGCAAAGCGTCCAAGTATAACAGCATTTCCCTTTTTCCTCCTCTTCTTTCTCTATCCTATCTTATGCCCGCGCGCCAGCACGTTAAAGCGCCCAAGTATATGCACACTGTAGTACATACACGGTGTACATTATTGATTGAACAATGCTGCTATGGCGCTATGAGCAAAGTAGAAAAGAGAGAGACTGGCCGGATGTGTGAACGTGTCCGCATATGTGTATATATGTGTCTGTGTGTGTGTTTGTGTATGCGTGAACATCAGCGTAAGGGTGGACGAGAAAGAAGAGAGAGATGGAGGT